CTTCTGTTTTTTTGTTTCTAGCTCTCCCTCTCACTCCGTCTGTGTGTGTGAGTGTGTGTGACTCTCTCTCTCCCTCCCTCTGTCTGTCTCTCTGCTTTTTCTCTCTCTCTATCCTTCTAGCTCTCTCTCTTTCCCTCCCCCCTCCTCTATCCCTCTTCACTCTCTCTCTTTCTTTTTTTCAAACGCTCGCTAACATCGACTCGCGCACTATTTTTTTCTATCATTTAGTTTCTTTGCTTTTCTCTGTCTGTTTGTCTGTCTATCGTTCTCTCTTTTCTACTGTTCGTCTCTCCCATTCTTCCTCTGCTCTCACACGACCTCTCTCTCTCTCTTTCCTTCTAGCTCTCTCACTCTGTCGATCTTTCTCTGTATCTATCTCTCTATCCTTTTAGCTCTCTTTCTCTCACTCTCTGTCTCTCTGTCTGTCTGTCAGTCTCTCTCTCTCTCTCTCTCTCTCTCTCTCTCTCTCTCTCTCTCTCTCTCTCTCTCTCTCTCTCTCTGGTCTCTAACGGAGACCTAACTTTTGCGCGTTTTTAAAAACTCGTCAATCAATCAATCTCTTTCTCTCACGCTCTCTCCCTCGCTTCCTCGATCTATCTTTCTCTCTATCTCCTATGCTCGCTAACACTCTCATTTTTTTCTTTAAATCAATTTCTTTTTCCTGTCAGTCCGTCTGTATGTCAGTCTATCTCTTTCTGTCCCTCTTACTTAATCTCTCTCTGTTTTGTCTCTCCGACTTTTTTTTCCTATTTACGTTTTTCCCTTTTTCCTTTCCCTCCATTTCTATTGGTTTCTCTGTCTATCTTGCAGTTTGCCTGTTATTCTTTGTAGTCTGTCTCACTTTGCCTCTATCTATCTTTAGCTTTATCTTTCCATATATTTCTCTTTGCAAAAAATTAATAAGTGTATTGACGTAAACGGTTAAAACTTCATATTAAAAATACAGTTCCTCCAAGACTTTTATGGTGCACGACAAAACTTTAAATTTCGAACAAGTCAAACGAACGAACTTATTTTATTTTACATAAGTGTTAAAATGTCCAAATTATGGTCATTAAGGTATTTTTGATGGTAAAATTAATTCCTTATGATTTTCTAAAAAGACTACACAGTAAACTTACTCGTTGTTTAGGCCAAATAAAAGTTATTACGTTAGTTCGAAAATTTTAATAAAAATGTGTATTTATTATTAATTTACCATATTTAGTCAACGTTTACTGTTATTTTAACCAGTGGAAATTTATTGTTGTTGCTGTAATGTTAGAACAAAATAAATTATACAGTCTCTGATTTAAATGCTTATGAAGCTCTGAGATCTGTGTCGTTGGGTTTCTTGGTTTGCCAAGTTTAAACAACGATTATTGTCTCGAGAGCAAACAACACATAGGAAAGCCCATCAGTTAAGCGACGGAAAATTTAACAGTACCCAATATTTTCCGCCGTTCAAAGAAAGAGGAATGCATTTATTACGAAATTTATGAACCTGGTTGAAAAGTTGTTCGGTGTATTTTAACCTATATGTATACTATTTAAGTATGATTTTAAGCAAAGATGAATTTATGACTTTGATAATAAATCCTTTATGAATTTCCTGAGAAGGAAACGCGAACCTTCGTTCTGAAATTGGACAACAACGTATTTCTCAAGCTTAACGATTTTAGATTATCTTTCTATTTTATGGAATACTCAAAACAATGTAGAATTTAGGGTGGAGAGCCGAGAAGCTTTTACAATCATCTAAAAAATGTAAGGAATTACATAACCCCAAACACGATGCATTACAAGTAGACTTTAACTAGGGTCATTTATTTTTCTTTCTCTCAAAGAAGGCATTAATTATCCTTTCACAACATAAAAAGTAAGATTTCACGAGAAAAAAACAAAAAAAAAACGAAAAAAGCACAGTTAAATTTTGATTTGTTTTATGAAAACCTCTTCTTTTTGCAGGTGTCTTGTTTATAGGGATGAAATAAAAAAGGCTAAGTTTTTATATAATTTCCTCTGTAATTTTAATGTTAGCAACTTAGACATTAATGGCAGCACCTACACATACATCTATAACAAACATTACCGCCCTCCAGACCAAGCTACCGCGATCCGGCCCGGTGACGCTGTGCGAGCAGTAAAGAACGCTGTGGGAAAGCGTTGGCAGCGTCAGTGGGCCGGGTCGTCCGAGAAGCTCCTGCGAGTTAAGGGCACGACTGAACGATGGCCTCATGAGAATCTGAAACGAAATGAAAGGATCGTGTTAACTCGGTTGAGGATTGGCCATACCCGTCTGACACACGGACATCTGCTTCTGGGTCAAAACCCGCGCAGGTGTCCCGCTTGTAGAGAAAGGTTACTCAGTGTGTCTCATCTTGTCGAGGAGTGCCGTGCCTTGGCCCCCTACAGGGAGCGAGTAGGCATGAACCCTGACATAAAAACGGTACTCGGGCGAGCAAGTCAAATGTTGGATCCCCTATTCCGCTTTCTAAGAGAAACGGGGGTGTTTCCTCACTTGTAAATAGTGTATAAAACGTGAATATTTGTGTAAATAAGTGTATCTGTGTTGTGTTTTATTATTGTGTCGTGTATTTATTTATAAGTAATTTATTTATTTATTTGTTTGTTGTAAGTGAGTGATCTTTTAGACTGTAGGGCCGATGGCGGAATATTGAGTACCCCATCGGCCACAACAGTGCAGTGAGAGGGGGCTGAAATGACTTTATTGTTGGAAGCCCCCGGGGAAAAAAAAAAAAAAAAAAAAAACATTACTGATTTCCTGAGTTAAAATTGCAGAACAAGGATCATCCTAACCCGTCTCGAATTGGCCATTCGTGGTTGACTTACTTTTAGCCAAAACCCGGTTTCGGCAATATTTATCCCAATGTAGCCCATTTTATTGAAGGTTGTCGTTCCTTGAATATAGAGAGCGAGTAGGAATGCCACCTAATATGAGAATTATGCTCAAGTGTATGACAAGCTATTTCATAAAGGCCGCCAAAGAGGCATGCACAATCAATAAGGCAGTGAGTTCCGACGATTGAGGAGGCAGAAGAAGAGGACGACGACAGGCCTAGGCGGAGCCACGCTGGATTGGAGGTACGGTCGGTCGCTTGCAACGTTAAAAAAGAAAAGAAAGTATAAAAAAAATTGTGTGACGTGCTCAAAGACTAAAAAAACTGCCGTTAAGTTATACTTTACATCTTGTCTAGTGAAAAGGATATCGAAAAATTACTTTATACTTAATTGTTGAAACTACTTTTATAATAAGAAAATATTCTCTTTTCCTTCCTAAATTCTTTGTAACCATTTATAAGATTTATTTGATTTAATTATTTGTTATTAATGTAAGAACCTTTTATGTTTAACGGTTATTGACTTATTTATTATATTTTATTTTATTTTTTATAACTATATTAATCCCCAACGTCATAAATTAACGCTCCCACAACGTTATAATTGCAGCGGTAAATCTTTGAGTCTTCTGTTTTTGCAAGAAATAAGGTAGTTTGGTATATATAAACATTTTAATTATTTAAAGGTCATGAGTTGCGGTCTGGCGTGCTGTTGGTTAGAAAAACATTTTCTTTATGGTGTCAACGTTTAGATCTGTATTGAGAGCATGTTCAGGCCCTGGGATTTATAAACAGTGTTTAAATTATACAATTACCCAAATCTTTAAAATGAAACATATATATAAAAAAAACAAAAAAACATGAAAATCTTAGAAACACATTCAACTTGACACACAACAGGGACACGACTACACAGAAAACACTCACTTTGCGTGAGTACTAATACTTTGATTACACCTAAAAGTTCTATATTGTGTACATCATTAAATAAATTCATATCAATATCTTATAGGTATTTGTATAATTTAAACAATGTTTATAAATTCCAGGCCCTAGAGATGATCTCAATAAAGATCGAAAAGTTGACTCGATAAAGAATTTTTCTAAACCTACAACACACCAGGCCGCATCTCACGATCTTTAAATAATCATTAATTAACGGTCACTAAATATTACACATAAATGTTTGGTGTTTATTGACCGTTAGCCAATGATTATTTGGAGATCGTGAGGTGCGGTCTGGTGTGACGTAGGTTTTAGGAAAACATTTTCTTCCTCGTGCCAACGTTTCGATCTTTATTGAGATCATCTTCAGGGCTCAAAGGGTTTGTTTTCCGTGTAGATGAGTCAGTCTTGTTGCCGTTAGAGTTGCTGGTTTATGTGTATATATGTTGGATTTTGAAGGGGTGGGAAAGAAAAAGACCTTTCAAGATACTTATGGACACCAAGCAAAGAGTATTCTGAAGGACATCGCCAACAATGAGAGGGGAAAAAGTCTTTCTTTATTTAAGAAGTTAATTTTATTACTGTACATATAACAAGTTTAGTGATAAATATATGTTGAGTTAACTTTTCGCGATTATGTAATTATAAGCGTGAATGTGTGGACCACCGGGTCGATGACGGAACATCAAATACCTTCGACTGTCAATATAGGCTTCTGTATTGTTACTTTTCTGTTTGTGTATTTTGACAAATGGAGTGCACCATCACCATACCTGAATAGGTGTATTTAATTTAGAATTTTTTTTATTTAAAACTGATTGAGAGTGTGTTTTGGTTGCGTTGGGGCTAAAATCACCTTTTTGATTGCCCCCAGGAGCCAACCTTCGTCGGTGGAAGGACAGTCTGACCTCGGTCAAAAATCCAAAGATTCATCTGTTCCTTCACAAACCTGACTCAAAATATCTTATAACGTATACGTTTATTTACACGAAAAAATCTTTATAAATGAATAATTTGATAGTTTGACCTGAATTCTTTAAAAACACAATAGAATCTCGTTAAAAAATACATAATACCGTAGATAACATAAGCCCCTTTGTATATTTTTTATTATCACAAATACCTTCTCCGGCCGGCAGTCAACCGATTTTTTACGACGCACTTTAAATTTGTCGTAAAAAAATTAATCGTGGATATTTTTATTTTAATTTTCAGAAAATGCAAGCCGCTATTGCTTTCCCAACGGCACGTGGTCCACATACACAAATTACAACGCGTGTCAAGCCACGGTGCCAGAGAACATGGTGCCGGAGATGCCTTGGGTCGTAGGTGCCTCGACCATCTACTGCATCGGTTACAGCATCTCACTCGTCGCCTTGTGCGTAGCGGTCTGGATCTTCATTTACTTCAAGTAAGTGTATACACAATCTAGTGTTTTTCGAATAACAATAATATTAAAAAACCACATCTTTTAAAAAGTGCGTAACTAACGTCTATTGACTAGAATTATCTAAAAGTACATCTGGCGCAGAAATCCTCTTACATTTATAGTCCCTTTATCTCACTATCTCGCTTTATCTTTTTTCTTCCCCAATTCAATTTAATTGTGTACAAAAAAGATGTATTTTCAAAAAAGATAAACGTGTAAAAACGCAATTCAGGCGCATATTAAAAGAACGGTGGTTTTGGAAAAGGGAGTTAACGTATTAGATCTATTTCTAGGACAGATAACTGTTTATATTTATCGTCTAAAATCTGACGAGGTCTATTACTTTATAAACATCAAAATCAAAGAATAAATACAATATTTGCATTTGCTGAAACATGGATTGGAACTGATCGCTCCATCGTCTCTTTGAAATGCCACTTCTATTTCTTCCCCTCTTTCTCTTTCACTCTATTTCTCTCTCTATCTACCTATCTATCTATCTATCTATCTATCTATCTATCTATCTATCTATCTATCTATCTATCTATCTATCTATCTATCTATCTATCTATCTCTCTGTCTATCTATCTCGCGACTCTCATTATCTCTATTTTTACCCATCTATCTATCTATCTATCTATCTATCTATCTATCTATCTATCTATCTATCTATCTATCTATCTATCTATCTATCTATCTATCTATCTATCTCTCTGTCTATCTATCTCGCGACTCTCATTATCTCTATTTTTACCCAACTCTCTCCTCTTTCTCTCTCTCTCTTCTCTATCTCTCTTTTTCTTCTTTCTTAGTCTCTCTTTCGCTTTTTTCCTTTCTTTGTCTATCTGTTTGTCTGTCTGTTTTCACTCTCTGACACTCTCATGATGTCAGTCTCTCGATCTCGCGCTCTTACTCTCTTTCTTTTGCTCTCTCTCTATATCTATCTATCTATCTATCGATCTATCTATCGATCTATCTATCTATCTAATCCATCTATCTATCTATCTATATATCTATCTCCCTCTCTCTCTCTATCTATCTGTCTATCTCGCGACTCTCAGTCTCTCTGTTTTTACCCAACTCTTTCCTCTTTCTCTCTTCTCTATCTCTCTTTTTCTTCTTTCTTAGTCTCTCTCTCGCTTTCTTCCTTTCTTTGTCTACCTTTTTGTTTGTCTGTTTTCACTCTCTGACACTCTCATGATGTCACTCTCTCGATCTCGTGCTCTTACTCTCTTTCTCTCATTCTCTCTCTCTCTTTCTTTCTCTTTCTTTCTCTCTCTCTTTCTTTCTAACTCTCACACACAAGGAAACATCAATACATCATAACAAACAAACTTTAACATAAGAAATGTCAGCAATAAGTAAAAAAAGGTAAAAGCAATCATATATCATATAATACAATAAATAACAAACATTCCGTACAACATACGAAATACATCAAACATGAAACAAAGAATGCTAACAAGTTTCCGGCGATATTATCCAAGTATTTTTTAAATTATACCAACTTTTTAACTATGAGAATAAACCTAGAGCCATTTTACTTATGTCTGAAACAAAACCCGTGCTTTACTAACAAGGGGAAGTAATGGACGTGTGATCGTCGATTTTAATTTTAAGATTTAAAAAAAAATTCCTGTGATATAGGTCAAAAAAATATTAGCCACTTGTCAGGGCGTTCTTGCTAATTGGACCTAGAATCCAAGAAAAAAAAGGAATAATTATAGTAATTTTTTAAAATGTTTTTTCAGCCTTTGACGAGCATATATTTTAAGGTTTTTATGTATCAGTTGTTTAGTGTTTTTATTCAGGATAACAAAATAACAAGGTGGCTTGTGTTAATGTGATTCGGTTGAAAAGTTAGGAAAACACAAAGACCCTTCCAGTAAAGTAAGACAAAATATTGGTTCTTTAAAGTACCAGTGCTGTTAATAACGTGATTGGAACTGTTGGAAAGCTGGATTGTTCTGTGTTCAGGCAATGTCAACAACGTTTAGATGTTATGCGATTATAAGTGAGAAAATGAAGGATATAATTTAAAAAAACTGCTGGAACATTTTATTTCACTCGTTTTAATTTATGTACGTTGGCGAAGTTTGGGCTGTTATTTGCAGTTTATAAGGGTTAAAACACTTCTAAAGTCTTTCGTACTAAGGTTAACTCGTTGAACCATTTCTATGTTTCTATTCTAGCCTGTTCTATGTTTTACGAGAGAGAACATTGTAGCTGATAAATTTTTTTAGCCTACCTTGCTATATCACGTGGCCACAAATTTTGTATACCCATGCTTGGTACCAAATAAAATTTTGAGGTAAGTTCTGAAAAGTAGGTTGAAATATTTTTTCGGTTTTTGCCACCAAATAACTCTTGAAAGCACATTTTTGTTAAAAAAAATATCTTGTATTCGAAAGTACAACTTGGGGACCGCGGTAGCCGAGTGGTTAGCATGAGAGACTCTCACGCCGCGGTCGTGGGTTCGATTCCCACCGTCGCCCCTGGCCCTTTTTTCCCGATAACCCCCAATTTGAAGTATAACTGTATAAATCGTATAACTGCTAATCGTATAACTGTATAAAAGTATAACTGCTTAAATCGCAACCTCATAACTAAAATAAACTTATTTAAAAATGGCCTTGACTTGGTAAAAGTGTTGATACAATTGATAAGAAATGTCTGTTTAAAGACTCATCCATTAAAATACTATAAATTTTATCAGTTAGATTTATTTTAACATAGTGTATAAGATGTGTAAAAAAAGGTGTATATAAAAGTAACGATGATAGCCTAAATACTGATAAATGGCGTAATATTTTTATATATGCTGCTTGATAAAATAAAGAGAGTGAAACCTTCTTTAGCCAAAAAACAAATCAGTTATGAATATTAACATGATTGTAAATAAAAATTATACATTTTTCCATGATGATGTAAAATGTAAGGTTGACATTAATAATAATGGCATGTGGTAAAGGCCGATTTATGAAAAATGTTTTGCCCTTCTTTTCTTTTTTCTACGTCTCTCTTCATAAAAATAATCGAAAGACAGAATATTAAGGCTAATAGGCGGATAAGGGGATTTCCTTTTTCAGGACCATCTTTCTCAATTCCAAGACGTCCTTTATGGCCGGACATCCATAAGTTTAATGCTGAGGTGCTTGAATTAAATTTATGATATTTTGTCAAGAAAAGGGCGTGGCCGCTTGCTCCGGCAAGAACATCAACCCTCTGTGCCGTTTGTATGCCCGAACAAAGCCGACCGAAGGGAGTTTCGGTCCCTTGGGGCCCTCGCGGCGGCTCTTTCTCCTCTCCCGGCTTTTGTAGGAATGCGCATCAATATTTTTATTGTCTAGGTTATTTCCGCGTATGATGTAAATATATAATATATATATTTAATATGAATAAACCGGACTTTTGTTTTTTGTGCAATTGTAGAAAAGGAAAACATGGAAAAATAACAAATAACTCAACACGTGAAAAGACCGAATGATAGGCTTGATATGTCTTTGGGAAACCAACAGATATAACAAAAATATGAGAAACTAAATCGAAAAGTTACTCGATTGACCTAGTTACTTCCCCAATCAAGTCTCCCATCTAATGAACAGAAAGCTCAATAAACGCAGCTTTCAGCCTTGATTATGAACAAACAATTAATAAATTAATATATCACTTAAGAAAATTTCTTAACGAAGACAAAAAATTAGAATAGAATTGAAATATGAATAAACAATATATTTTCTCAAATATTAAAAATCCGATTCAGTACATTCTGTATATTACCAATTGAACCAGTTCAAGTTTTTATAAACTAGAGAAAATATAAAAACTTATTTGTGTGTATTTGTGTGTGTATCTATTTCCCTTTCTCAGTTCCCGATCATTTTGTCAGCAGTGTATTGTACTCCCTCAATCCCCATATATTATCACCAATTTGATTCTATTTTTCGACAATTAGGTTCTCGTTTTATCGCCGGGGGCGACTTTAACGCCAAACATCCGGCATGGGGTAGCAGAACCACAAATTCACAACGTTCTCGCCCCTCTCAATTACACTTACCTATTTCCGGATCAACCAACCTACTGGCCCACTGATCAAAACCGCAGTCCCGACTTGTTGGATTTTTTCGTGACATCTGGTACAGGTTCCTTCTTTCCCTCCATCCAATCTTTAAACGACCTGTCCTCAGACAACTCTCCTGTGCTCCTCACTCTCGACACAACTCCCATTCATACACCTTCCAGACCTTCTTTAACCAACAACCCAGTAAACTGGAATCTATTTCAACATATCCTCAATAATACCTTAAACCTAAACATTCCTCTTAAAACTGGTAACCAAATAGAACAAGCTGTCAGTATTCTCCCAAGTAAAATCCAACACGCCGCTCATTTATCGTCCTCCCCTCCACGCCCTCAAAAGTCATCTCCAAATTCCCATCTTCCCGAATATATTCGTAAACTTATAACCTCCAAACGAAGAGCAAGGTTGCGATGGCAACGCCATCGTTACCCCTCTGATAAAGTAACATTTAACCGTCTCACTTATGTTTTGAAACTCGAATTATCCAAATACCGTTCATCCCAGTTCCAGTCATAGCTTGAATCCTTATCCACACAAGACAACTCCCTTTGGCTAGCTACTAGGAAGGTTACCAAACACTACCAAGTGCCTTCCCCAATTAGAAATCCAAACGGTACCTGGGCCAGGACAAATGCAGAAAGGTGTCAGCTACTTTCCGATCACTTTTCCACAGTTTTTATTCCCCATCCCGATATGAATGCCACTTCACAATCAAATCATATCAATGAATTCCTTCACTCTCCTCTCCCTCTCGCTCTACCTCCTAAGCCCATCCACCCCGCAGATGTAATGTACCAGATTCTCCGCCTTTCCGAAAGAAAATCCCCAGGCCACGATCTAATTACCCCTAAAATCCACCGAAATGTACCCAAAAAAGCAATAGTGTACATTACCTCTATTT